GTCGATCGCTTTCTTAATTTTATTTTAAGAAAAGATTATGGGACTTCTAGACTAATTATGTATAAAGCAACTCCTTAATTAGTGATGTATACTTTCATTAAATTTTCAAATGCTCAAACCACTCTCATAATTGCGCCCATGTCTTTATTTAGTTTCTAGATCGAGTTAGTTTTTGTCATACATAACTTATGCCTAGTGTAATTTAATATCTCCGATCATGTACACAGTTTGCAATCTATATCATAAGAAACGTGCCGGGAGAAGGGTCTCTTGATCCAAAAATTAGTCGGACCAAATTTAGAAATTATCAAAATATATATAAAAAAAAAAGAAGACAACAATTATTTTTTATTATTTAAAATTTGCTAGATAAACCAATATTGTTATTTGTAGTGTTGAAGAAATTATTTCATTTATCTTTCACAAAATATATGTTGCACAATTAATCAAGCTACGTTGAAATTAAACGTTAGTTGAAGCCATGCTATGAACTAATTGTACAATCAAAACGTGCCATAGGAAAAAGCAATTTTAGACGTACCGCTTATCCATAATAGTTGTCAATAAAATATATATTTAAGTCAACTTGAAATTCATACATTTTTTTAGTATTATATATATATATATTATGAATGAACCCTTAGTTAGTCATATATATCGTCATATCGGTGTATGGGGGTAAACATATTATCTCGTATAATTGTTTGTAAATTGTACGGGAGACGTAACTCATATTAAATTAATCATGTGTACATAAGTTAGACCTATCGAACTCTAACTATTCATATTCGATTTTATTTGTCAATAATTTCTAAATCGAGCATAACTCATTTAATTTTTTTTGTTGTTTTAGAAGAAAAATAAATTAGTGGCGTTTCTTCGATCGACACGATGCCATGAGAAAAACGACCTAGTTTAAATCCTAACTAACCCTAATTACTTTGACAAAGAAAAAATACAAAAAGAGACGTAAGATTTTGAATAATAACAAAATTTGTTACTTTCGCATCATACAAAGGAATAAATAAATAAATGTAACAAATAAAACAAATCTCGCACTATTTCATCTATATTTACATTTTTCTTTATATTATAATCGCAATCCAAAACAGTCACTATTCCACTTTCGACCCCGAAACTTTCTTATATTCTCCTAAATCACCCCAGACTTTTTGTCGTCAGGTGCATTTGATCCAGTAACTAAATTTCCACCGCGGGTCCCAATTTCAAACAACCATCAGCTGAGGCAGAATTGGACGTTAGATAACGGCGACAACGGCGGGACCTCAAAAATCCCCTTCTCATCTCCAAAGCCCCAAACGGGCGTCCAGCTTGACGGCGTTAACGGCCCTGCCGCCGCCGCCGTTGATTCCCTGACCTCCGTTTTGACTTCCGGGATCTCTTCTGCTGATCTCTTATTAGTCTTTTCCTTTTCTTCAATCTCGTTCTCCCTCCCCCTTTTCCGGCGAACAATCGCCGCCGGCGCCGCTTCATTCGGAAGCGCCGCCGCCGACGAGTTGAAATTCTCAATATCAAGTGGGAAATTCAGTATGGCCTTGCTTCCCCTCAGCTTGAACGCCGCCCTATCATAGGCTTTAGCCGCCTCCACGGCGGTGTCGAACGTCCCGAGCCAAACCCGGGTTCCCTTCCGGTTGGGATCGCGTATCTCCGCCGCGAACTTCCCCCACGGCCGCTGCCTAACGCCCCTATAGTGCCTCTGGTCAACGGAACTTTCATCAAACACCTTGCCTGCATGATTATTAACCCCACCGCACTCCACTCCCTTCTCGCCCAATTTAGGTATTGCTATGTTCAGCGAAGGCTTCTGCTTCGCAATCTGCGGCTTCGTTTCGAAATCCAAGTACAGCTCATGATGCTCGACTTTTGAGCCGAAGAAGCCGGGAAATCCAACAGCGGCGGCGGCGGTAGTAGAAAAGGTGAAAGCAGCCGGATCGAAAACAGAGGTGGTTTGTTCAATATTATTAACAGAGGTGTTTGTGAGTTCAGAAAGAACAGAACTGCAGCTGCTGGAAGTTCTTGAAATCTGGGAGTCGGAAGAACAGTAGTTCTCCATGAAAGCAAAATCATCAAGAAGATGTTGGCGTATGATTTCCAGAGCTGAACTTTCATCAGGTGACCCCATTTTTTCCTTTGAATTGTTTGATATGTTTTTTTCTTTGAGTGGAAAATAACAAGTGATTAGGGTTTGCTATATATGGTGTGGAATTTTTTGATTTAAAGAGTTACAGAGGGTGGGTGGGGTACTTCGTAGGAGGGTTCGTTGGAGGAGAGAAGAAGCATCGGATGTAAGAGAGAGAAAGTAGAGAGAGAGAGAGAGATTTATCCAAAAGGGGGAAGAGTGGAATTCGTGTTAGGACAAAAGTGGTGAGGTTGGGATTTGTCTTTTTCCAACAATACCCCCATTTCCATGTTGCTTCCATTTACGTGCCTTATTTTTTAATTACTTTTTATTTAATTAGTTGGTTTTTTTTTTTTTTTTTTTTTGAATACTAAATATACTAAATGGTAGTTTTAATACTATATTAGTACTATTTAATTAAAGCAAGTTTTCAGTGAACTGATTTAGGGTTGAGTTTATGAATTGGGAAATTTTTCTTGTAAGAAACTAGAGGCTTATTCAAAATGGGAGTGAATCCGATTTTATTACTTTACGATATTATTGAATTCAAGTTTGACCTAACACAATATAGAAGAAAAAAAACTTATAGTTTTCTACTAATATTGAGGCCTTTTATCTTCTTTTGTATTATATCACATATAAATATTTTATATTGACGTTGTAAAATCTACACCCTCAAGACTTTCTTTCAAAGCCCGACTCTCTTGAACGCAGAAAAATTTTGCTCGCTGGAGAAGATGAATTCGACGAACGAAAAATATAAATCTAAAGAGATAGAGAGAGAAATAAGAGTTTGGAAAATAGTATAAAAGTCTTATAATTTCACTGTTGAGTCAACATGGTCTTAATCAGATTTATTACAAGGATTTTATATGGGAAAACATTTCTAATTGTTTTCTATTTTAACTCGCGTTAATTAGGTCGAGATTCACATCGATCGGTTTACTTTCCTAATGATCTATCTATGGTATAAAAATTCAACGTCATGCTCTTCCAACGCCAGCTCGCCAACTACCACACTTTTCTCGGAAGATTCATTTCCCTGGCGAACTCTTCTTTCGGCGCCCTTTCTAATATCAAGGTTTTCTCTTTTTCTAGTGACGAGCTCTATACTGCTTATAACCTCTAAGAATGGATCTTCAGCCCCTTAAATCCTTTTAATTTTCATAGCTCACTTTATTTCGTCTTAAATGCCCAACTTTAGGGAAAGCTCGACCCAATCTTGCTAAACTGACCCATCATTTTAATTAATTAATTTAGGCATATTAGACAGCGGGTCTTCTTAATTAATAAATTAATTGTGTCTGTAGACCTGCTCCATTATAATTAAGGTTAACTTTAGCATGTGAACACCAAATTAAAATCTCCAGGTTGATTTTCTTGGCTTGTGCTTAATTCTAAGTTCACACTCCACGCAGCAGTTAAAATATATATATATATATGACTTCAGATTATATAATTTACATTTTTTAATATATATTTAATGATATGATTATTGCGTCATCAAGGATGGAGCATACGTCACCAGTCACTTCAATCTTCTTTTAATTTTTGTGTGCATGTATTTTTTTTTTAATTAATGTTGTTGTCCAAAAAATATATAATTATGTGGCCTGAAATTTGATTGTAAATTAAATATTATAACTAATGCATCATAGGTGATTTATAGATATTGAAGAAATATATTTAATTTAATTTTTAAATCAAAAAATTAACAATATAATTCAGTCCAAGATTAGCTTAGTTTTTTTTTTTTTATTTTATTACTAAAGAGAGAAGGAACAACCATAGAATTGAATTGTTGTAATAAATAAAAAAGTTGCACGTGAGAAGACCATTGGACCATTTATATCTTGACTTTTATTTAATCCATGTTAAAAAAAAAACACCTACTTTTCAACAAATAATGATTTTTTTTAATAAAATAATTAAATTAAAATTGTGCCAACTTGATTTTGCATAGTATCAACTTGTATCAAAGGTAGTCACTTTCTATGATCAAGTTGTTGTCTTCTTGTTTTTTTCTAAGGGTCCAACAAATTCAATTTATATGTTTGGGGGATGTATCTAATTTTAGCCCCCACCCCCCTCCTACCCACCCCCACTCAAGAATTAATATTTTTTTCTTTTTGAATAGTAATTAATAATAAATAATAGCTTTCCTATCAAAAAGAAAAAAATAATAATAAATAATAGCTGTATTTTGTTTTGCACATAACTAAATAATATCTACTAAATTATATTACATTTTGGTGGATTGTGATCACACGACTTTATAATCATTGAGGGTGGTTGTATGTTAATGTTAAATTTGTTTTGTGTATATAATTAATGAAAAATAAATTAATATATGAAAGAATATATTAAAAAACTAAATAATAAAAAGCTAAATAATAACACTATATATATTCGCATCACAACACACATACTCTCTACTATTTTGCACTTTTGCAATTAAAGTTAGCAATATAATTAAATTAATTCTCATCATTATAATTGTCTACGTATATGTAACAATAGAGTTCAATTCGGCATTGAGTTCCACTTTATTTCTGCTTTTCGGCTGACATTTTTAATCAACTATGAAATATTTATAATAATTAGTAATTAAAATATTAATTGTAATCAATTTGCGTATCTTTTCATGATTATGCTCAAATCTCTACTTTTTATATATATTTTTATTGTGCTTTAAATTAAAGAATTCTCCCTTTTAGATTCTTTTCATGCAATTCGATTTTTCCTACCATCATGTCGACGAAATTATGATATCATTTATTTTAAATTGTGCCATTTTATCAATTAATTTTTTATATAGCAATAATGAATCAGTTTATGCAACAATGCATTTTCTTTTTAATTTTATTATTTTAATGAGAGGAAAAATCGAAAAATTGCAGCCATTTAAGTTCATTGTATCTTCGGCCCAGAATTTTTCCAACTTTCTGTTGGAAATTGGACTTGGACTTGGACTAAATATAAAATTAATATATACCTTGTAGATTTTATAGTATACACAAAATATATTTGGGAAAATATTATGAAAACGTGGTCGTGTTTTTTTTTTAATAATTTATTATGATGATGGAATCCTTAACCAATTATATATGTGTACTGATTAAATTGCTTACAAATTATACGAAAATCGTAAACCACACTAAGTTAATCGTGTGTAACAAATTCCACCCAACAACCGTTTACGTCTACGATGAAATTTAAACCTGGATCAATTGATACGCACTATTATGCAATGGTGGTAGAATATTCATAGTGCCAATAATGCAAATTCATGGATTGCAAATTCTTTCATTTAGAATGATGAATGCGTGACATCACAAATTTTGACGTCAGCACTTCTTATCCATAAAATAAAAAACTCTAATTAACCACGTGATGTAATCCATGATCCAACAAGTTGCTCCACTTGTGATTATTATTTTCTTCAATGGTGCAATTTCCAAGAAACCAAAACTCATCGAGATAAAATCACATTGCATAATAAAATACATTATCGTAATTCTTTAATTGATTAATTTACCCAATTATATTTCCCATGGGTGCATTGCACCTTCTTCCACCCTTCTCTCTCCACTTTCTCTCTCTACACTATATAAACCCCAAACCTTGTGTCTGTCCAAAAATTCAGAAAAATCTTTTCTCTCTCTCTCTAGAATTCTCTCTTTCGCAATACTAATCAAAACACCATATTATTATGTACCAGCCAAATTATAGTGAGTTAACGCCGGTAGATTTACCGGCGGTGTACTGCCGGAGCTACAGTTTCAGCAGCCTCATGCCTTGTTTAACGGAGACCTGGGGTGACCTGCCGTTAAAAGTTGACGACTCTGAAGACATGGTCATTTACGGCCTCCTTCGTGACGCCGTTACCGACGGATGGACGCCGTTTAACGACGTTAAAACCGAGCCAAGAGATATGGGCTTGGCTGCTGCGGTGAGAACGGAATACGTTGTGGTTTCTCCGCCGGCGACTGCGGCGGCGGCGAGGCCTAAAGGGAGGCACTACAGAGGAGTGAGGCAACGGCCGTGGGGGAAGTTCGCTGCTGAGATAAGAGATCCGGCTAAAAACGGGGCGAGAGTGTGGCTCGGGACTTACGAAACAGCTGAGGAAGCGGCTTTGGCTTACGATAGAGCCGCTTTCAGGATGCGCGGCTCGAAGGCTTTGTTAAATTTCCCGCATAAGATCGGCTTGAATGAGCCGGAGCCGGTGAGAATTACGGCTAAGAGGCGGTCACCAGAGACTTCTGGTTCAACAGTATCGGCTCTTACATCCGGCTCAGATAGTGGCAGCTCACCGAAGCGGGTGAAGAGAGAAGAGACGGCTGATGGAGCCGAGCTGGAAGTAGATAGTCAATCTACTTTCGGCTATCAAGTTGAGTGCCAAATGACGTCATTGCCACTTGGTGCGCAGTTAGTGGTGGCTTAAAATATGAGCTGGAATTGCAATATGGCCTGTTTGGATGTGTATATTAAACTGAAATTTTGCCCCCACGCTTCTAGTGGGCTAAAATGCGAACTGAAATCAAATGCGTACGTGTAAATTGTGTGTGGTGTGTGAAAAAAAAATATATGAATATTTCCACGGTTCAATATTTAAAATACATTACAACAAAAAATAAAAAAAAAAGAGCAATTAAGCATTTTTTGATTAGATAAATCAAAATTTCCAACGGATGTTACAAGTTTATGATACGAATATTGAAGAGTAAGTCTCGCAAAAGATGGTCTAGCTGAGCTTATGTTAAATGATTAAAGTTCGAATCATTTTGTCAACTGTTGTTAAGTCGAGCAAACGGTATTACAAACCCTGAACACATTCAATAGTAAATTTATCTAATTTTGCTCAAATCTATTTAATAGATTTGGCAACGCCCATTTATCTTGAATGTCCATTTGACCTATCGGTATTATGGGAAATATAAATATCAAATAATTCACCTCATTAACACATAACATGTATATAGTTAATTATAGAGCTTGCATAATTGTTAAAATTTCATTAGTCTTTTCTCTAAAATTGATATTTTAAAAAGTTTTCTCTCTAAATTTCATATTTTCAATCAAGACAAATACTATGTTTGGTCAGTAGTTGAGATTTTTTTGATGCTAGTGTCAGTAAATGCATCAAGTGATTATTAACCGTTGATATGTATCTAATGACACACATCCATGTGTATGTGTGTTTACTAAGTGATTATTTAACTATAAAAATTGTTAAAAATCACCCGATATATATGACCAAATGTAGCATTTCAATAAACCAATATTTGTTTGAAAATACGAACAAGAATATAGTTGGTTTAAGGTGTAAAGTCAAGTCCAAAGAAATATCTGAACTCTTAGTAAAATGGAATATTATTTATCAAAAAGTTCACACCTTGTGTGAAACGATATGGTAGAAATTTTCCATCGATATATATCGCTTTCTTTCATATATATTTCACTAACAATGAAAGTCAACAAACATCTCTATATTTTAAGTTATTAGCATTTATCAAAAAAGGTTAATGCAGAAGACTTCAAAGTACTTTTATTTTATTGTTTATTTTTCAAAGTTTCCTTACATTTAAACTGTGGTATAATTTTCAAATGGTAGAAATGACAAAATTTCCACACCGTAGAAAAAAAAATAGTAAATAAAAAATAAGAATTTGTGTAGAAGGAACAAACTTATTTCAAAATCGTAATTAAAGTGTGATTTTTGAAAAAAAAAAAAAAAGTAATGGAAATTGAATCGAAATTCAAAACGAAAACATTGTACCCCGGAAATTTGATTGTGTGAAATTCGAAAATTATGTTCCGATTTTCAAATTGCATTTTCTGGTGAACTGTTATTTATTAGTCGACGGTGCCATAATTTTCTCAATGTTTCCTTAATCTTTACACTTGGTGGAAAAATTGTTCATTGACCTCCATAATTCAACTGCCCAAAGTCTATGGAAAAGATGGACAATAAATATAAATATTATTATTGGTCTTTAAAATCACTCCCTTATTTTTCCCCCTTGTTTTGAGTCTCTAAGCACATATTAGTGGGTTGAACAATTTTTTTTAACATATTTATATTGAGCATCCATTCAAAGAATGCATAATAAATATAATACTTAAGCTCAAGAATTTTAATTATTATAGAGCTTAAGAATTATTAAGAGAAATTCAAGCACACAAAGCTAACACACTCACCAAACTAGCGCAGCTCTCGCATTAAAGGATTTTAGGACTTTATGTTAGGATTATGTCTTTATCTGTGTCTTAACCGCCTCCATTCTGCATACCTTATATTTATAGGACTCATGTCAAAAGTAATCGGTGAATGCAACATCGTAGAGTCAAAGTTAGCCGCGTATTGTGGCATTTTGATTTGACAGAGTCGATCTCCGACAGTATAAAGGAAGAAGACAAAAAGAGGGAAGGTGAAAGGGTGAAGATTACACGACACTAGCCAACGAATCAAATCATTTTATTAATCTAGATTTGGGCTCTCGCAAGTACCCTATCGAGCCTCTCTAAAGGTCGGCAGCTTAGCGGAAAATTGGCTCTCTTCTATCACATCATTTGTGTCAAAGCACTACAATTTTGTTACTCAAATCAATTGAATAAAAAGATATAAAGATGAAGAAAGTAGAAGCACGTATTGTTTGATAAAGAAAATAAATGAAATCAAATACAACAAGGTTCAAACAATTAACTCCAAATCGGCCTTAAGGAGACACAATATGTATTACAGTTGTGAAAAACAAATAAAAAATTCTAGACTAATTGGGCCTATACTTCAAAAAAACAAAAAAAATTGGTATGTGGGCTCCCAAAAATTAAAATTTTCTTTTAAAGCCCAAAATCAAGTAAGCCCATTGTTTCGGATAGCAAATATTTCTCTTTTTCTTGAATTACGTAAAAAATAAAAAATAAAAAAAATTCCAATTGTAAAAGAATTATTAGATGAAAAGCAAAGGAAGGCCACGTGCACACACGACAAGAATTGACGTGTCTGAAAACAAGCACCTCTATATTACATGCAGCCTTTGCATGCACAGCCATCCAACACGTCACCACTTCTCCCCCTTCTCTATTTATATTCCCATACTTCCTCTCAAATTCCGCCCACCATCTTCTTCTTCTTCATCTTCTGGTTAATTGTTCTCTCTCTCTAAAAAAAAGCTTTTACAGAGCAAGGAAAAGTACTTAAATGGCAGAGCATCATTTCGGTCAGTACCCTCAGCACCAGCAGGGCGGCGGCAGGACCCACCAGATGATGGGCATGGGTATGGGCGGCCACCAGCACCAGCAGCCGCGCAGCCACCAGATGGTCAAGGCGGCCACCGCCGTCACCGCCGGCGGATCTCTCCTCGTCCTCTCCGGCCTCACTCTCGCCGGCACCGTCGTCGCTCTCACCATCGCCACCCCGCTGCTCGTCATCTTCAGCCCTGTGCTGGTCCCGGCGGCCATAACCATCTTCCTCCTGGGTTCAGGGTTCCTCGCCTCCGGCGGGTTCGGCGTGGCGGCGCTGAGCGTGATGTCGTGGATCTACAGATACGTCACCGGGAAGCACCCGGTGGGTGCGGACCAGCTGGACACCGCGCGTACGAAGCTGGCTGGGAAGGCGCGTGAGATGAAAGACAGGGCGGAGCAGTTTGGGCAGCAGAATATCACCGGCGGTGGAACTCACAGTTCTTGAGCTCGGCGCGTGCGTGGGACTCACCATTTCGAACCCCCCTTTCTTTTTTGAGTATGGAATCTAGAGTTGACAAGGGGCTGTTTGGATGGAAGTGATTATCGGATTATCTGCTTTAATTCTGCTCTACTTTCTATTTTATTATGTAATAAGCTTTTGAATTCTAGTTGAATTATCTATATGTTTTTTTGTATTTGTGTATATGTCTTCAATGGCATTTTGTTCCTTTGAAGAGAATAAATAATAAATAATAAAACATCTTCATTTCCAATCTTATTTCCAAAAATTATAATAGTAATTAATCAATTAATATTTATTTCTCTAATCATAATTTTTAATATTAAAAAAAAATGTTTTCACCAAAAATCACCGCAAGAACACACACCACAGACAAACCGATGATACCTGTTCACATCCCTAACAACAATTTCTCTCTCCTTAACCCTAGAAACAATCTTGACCGCCACGTGGCAGTCCTCGCAAATTCTTAAATTTTTGGTAATAAGAAGCTTGCTCCTGGCCGGAGTGCTAATCAATCCAAAAGCAACCGCCACCCTCTCACTATGCCACCTCATCATCTCCGCCTTCTCGTCGCTCTCGACGTCGTAAAAAACCGGCGAAACATTCGCAACGTAACCCGCAGCCGCGATTAAACCACCCAATTCATTCAATTCGGCAGAAATGTCGTCCCACATCGGATGAGAAGTATTGCTATTATCGCCGCATGAAAAAGCATGCACTTTCCCTCTCACCTCAACCCAACTACACCCGACGCTTTTCTTAATCGATTTCGTCTCGCGCATCGATTTCCTCACCTTTGCAACCCCTTCCCATTTTCCGGCTTGAGCGTAAATATTCGACATAATCACGTAGCTTCCGGAACATTCGCGACCCATCTCGATCAATCTCTCGAAAGCAATCTCCCCCATCTCCACATTCTTGTGAATCTTGCACGAGTTGAGCAACGCACCCCACACGCCACAATCGGGCGCCACATTCATATTCATTGCCAAACTATAGGCTTCGTCTAAACGGTTGGAATGGCCAAGAAGATCGACCATGCACGTGTAGTGCTGAATATTCGGTTTTATACCATAGTTGTTAATCATCGAGTCGAAGTACATACGCCCTTCATCTATCAATCCTCCGTGATTGCAAGCTGATAGAACCCCCACGAAGGTTATTTCATCGGGCTGGATTCTTTCGGACATTTTGTCGAACAGATGGAGAGCTTCGTGCGCGTGACCGTGCATTGCGTAGCCTGTGATCATTGCGTTCCAAGAAACCAGCCTCTTTTCGGATAAGCCCTCGAATAAGACCCTCGCAGCTTCAACGTTGCCACTCTTGGCATACATATCAATAAGGCCTGTGTTGACCTTGTCGTTGAATTTAAACCCTATCCGCCAGCTGTACCCGTGAAGCTCTCGTCCTTGAATAACTGCCGATGAATCGGCCGAAGCTGATATAGCTGTAACTAAAGTAGCTTCCGTGGGTTTAAGATAACCTCTCGACGCCATTTCACTGCATAGTTTCAAACACTCCTCTGGATGCCCGTTTTGAGAATAAGCAGCAAGCATTGAATTCCACAGCACGACATCCTTATCCGCGATTTTGTCGAACACTTGGCGGGACTCGCTAACGCAGCCACATTTTGCGTACATATCGATCAGCGCAGCACCTACGAAAACATCTGTTTCCAACCCTGTTTTCTTCACTCGCTCGTGGATTTCTCTACCCACGTCGATTTCCGAAAGGGCCGAGCAGGCTTTCAGCGCAAAGGGGAACGTGAACTTGTCGGGGACGAGTTCTTGATCGATAAGTTGACGGTATAAAGAAATTGCGGCTTCGTGCGGCCCGTTCCAGGCATACCCACGAATCAGAATGTTCCAGAGGAAAATATTTGGGCTGGGAATTTTATCGAACAGGTGGTGGGCGTGCCTTAGAAATTTGCAGACGGTGTAGAGATTGACGAGCTGTGTGGCTAAATTGACGTTGGACAAGACGACGCCGTTAAGGCATAAGCGCGCGTGGATTTGTTTTCCCGGTTCTATGGATTTTTGAGAGATGCAAGATTTCAGTACAGAAGCATAATGATGGGGGAGGATCGGAATTTTCGGCCTTCGTAGCATTTGAAAGAATTAAGCACTTCTTTTTTTACCCTTTTACCCTTGAACTATAAATTGAAGTATTTATTGTTTTTCTTATGTTTTATTAATATATAAATAAAGCTTTTTAATCTACACATAAGATGTACGAAATTGGAAGTGAATTTTCGATTTTCGTCGATTTCCATCTGAATTTTTCTAAATCAACAGTATTTTTCGTTATATATTTTCTGGGTTTTTTTTATAAGAAGTGAATTAGATATGAAAATTTCAATTTTCCTTTCCGATGTTTTTTTTGGGAATCGCATTTATATAAAGAAAATAAAATTCCCAAATTTCACGGATTTTGATTCAAAAAATTTCGATTTTGTTTTTCTAATTTTTAAAAACGAAATTGGAATTAATTTTGACTTCTGAAAATTCGAAAATTTTCCGAAAATTCTAATTTTAATCGAATTGTTCAAATTTTCACCCGTAGTTATTATATTATAGTTCTCCTTTTCCATTGGATTTATTGCCTATGCTATCGTCTATAATCTATATCTCATTTTATGAATTTGGGATAAAATAAAAGGTAAATGTTGACTTCAAATATAAATAAATAAATATATACATAGAAGCCATAATAATTTGATAAGAGAACAAAAAAAATAATAAAACAATATGTGTGTGTATATATATAATCTTGAAAAAATAATAGATAAACCAAAGCTCTGACTTTTCGCAGAGGTATATATATAACAGATCTTTAACTTTTCATCCAAGTAACATAATTTTTATGAATTCCCATCACTTATTAGTTTCATACATAAACACCCAAAATTCAAATCATATTATTTTTTTGTATAATTTGATGATAAATCCTACACCAAATGCATGTCCGCCACGTGGACATGCAAACAAAATCATGTCTTTAATTACAAAAAAAAAAGGAATTACATCCTTAATTATTCCTATCAAAATTTGAAAAGTCATATGAGCTGTAAATTTAAATCACTAATTAATATACAGATTAAAAAGTAATTTTTTATTTTATTTTTGTTATATTTTAAAAATTCCATTTTACACATGGATCACGTCTCATATTATATATAGTTGAAAAATCTTGTAGCCGTAATTAATTCCACCATGTGCTAAATCAAATTTTACAATCTAATCACCTAGATTTTGAATAAAATAGATTAGGATAATATATGACTAATCATTGGTAATTTCCTTAATAAAATAAATTTGACCAAGAAATAAATAAATAAATAAATAAATTAATTATTATTGGGTGTCTAAGTGTCAACCTATTAAAAAACCGGAGTCTTTGTAGCTTTTTGAACGTATAAGTGTCAAACAGTCCCATAATCAACAACGAAGCCTCGTCCTCGAGGTATGTGTTTTTCTTTTCTCTCTCTATATATACATACCAATCTATACATATAGAGAGAGAAACAGAGAGAGAGAGAAATGCCTAACCAGTGTGCGAGAAAGTGCTGCCATTGTGGGCAGAAGGGGCATAACTCCAGAACCTGCACCATCAAAGCCTGTGTTGGTTTCAAGTTATTCGGCGTGCAAATCGATGTCCCCGCCGGAGATGACGGCGGCGGAGGCGGCGGCGCCGCCGCCGCGTCGTCCACCATCAGAAAGAGCAAGAGTCTCGGCAATTTGGAGGCATGCAACCCCGAGGGCGGCGGCGGCGCCGCCGCGTTGGAGGATTCTGGGTATCTCTCCGATGGATTGATTCATCAATCGTCTAAATCGCTCGACAGAAAGAAGGGTTTGTGCTAATCGTTCCCTTTTTTAATTTTTTTAATTTTGTTTTTTATTCAGATCTAAGAAGAATGAGATTAACATCTGTTTTGATTCTTTTTATTTAATTTTTGTATTTGTTCTTAGTCAATCTGAAATCAAAAAAAGAAAAAAGAAAAAAAGGAACCCTTAATTTTTTTTGCCCCTTTTGGATTTTGCCCTAGAAATCAATTTTGTGTAATTTGATTATAGGGAAGCCATGGTCAGAAGAAGAACACAGATCATTCTTATTGGGATTAGAGAAATTAGGGAAAGGTGATTGGAAAGGAATAGCTAGCAAATATGTGCCATCAAGAAAATCTTCACAGGTTGCTAGCCATGCACAGAAATACTTTATCCGAAAAGCCGGAATCGAAAAGAGAAGACGAAGAACAAGTGTTTTCGACATTCCTCTCACTGATTCGGTAAATTACACACTAGTCAATCATCAGTCGTATTTACTTATAAATCATCATTTAAAAGTTGCGATTTTTCTATCTGAATTCGTGTATTTGGCAGAATCAATCGTCATCCCAAGTGATTCCGGGTTCGCAACCTGATAAAGCTGCTGTCGAAAGTTCGCAGCCGGTAAGATCATTTTTTTTTTACTATTCTGCCATTGGTAAATAAATAGTTCATTAAGATTTGGATAATTGTAATTGATTCTTGATTAATTATTATATATCCAGGCTGCTGCTGTTGTTGCTTCTTCCTCCTCGAAGAACATGGCTGAACCGAACGGACAGGTTTAAATCTGAATCCATTGTCGGAGTTTGTGATAAAAATACATCAACTTATTGTAAATTGTAATTAATTAATCCGAATGTCGATATCTTTACAGGCTACTAACAAACAACCACTGCCAGCTCATGTTGCAACTTCTGAAAGGCCCCCTCTTTCACCTATGAAAACACACGGATTTGTCGATTTCCGTGGTACTTTCTACAAGGTATGTTAGAATCGAATCAATTCGGCTGTTGTTGCCATATATTTCGGACATAATTCGACGTCAAATTTTTCACATTCTGTTCTTGCAAGCGCAGCCATATTGGGTTCCAGTTGTGAATTTTCCGAGCCAGAATAGTAGTGGTGTATTCATACCGAACATGCATGGGGCTTTATCAGCTTGCACAGCTTTTGTGCCTCAGCAGCACTCGGCGGCTGCATGGCGGCAGCCGCTAGGGCAGCCGAGCTTTTCTCAGGCGGGATCTGCCGCTCCGATACCCAATAACGACGAGTTGAACCTCAACATTAGGAAGCTGGCATTGCAGTGATGTGCTGTCATTTGGTCATTTGTTGCTTGTTACAATCTTAGATAAACAAACAAGCTCATAGAAGACTGACATACAGTGATGTGCTATTCTTTTTTTCTTTTTTCTTTTTTCTTTTTTCGTTATATTAGTTCCTATTTTTTTTGTTCCGGAGTTGTCGTAAATCTACTGTGGAGCCTCGTATTCCGGTTTATAGTTTGACTGATATGATATAATAAAACTCACAATACTTATATCTCTACTGTTTTGTTATTTATATGTTGGCTGCACTTCTACCATGTTTTATTTGTGTTATGTTAGTCAATATTGATTGAATTTAGAGTTGTAATTAGATTTGTGTTATAAGCTGATTTTAATAGCTTTGCTAAACCAAACACACTCTAACTCGTTTGTTGAACGAATACTTCGACGGAATTTCGATCAAGACAATGGCGAACAATATTTGACGAGTACATACCAATATAAGAACCCTGTACCAGAATTAAAACGTATTACGTTACATTTAATAAAAAATAAAGCAATTTATTCAAAGAATAACCCGAATTCAATGGCAACGCAAATCAAATATTACATAATTTTTCTTTTCCAAATGTGCCACGTCTTTTCGACAAAGCTGTCTGCAAACAAACACTAAGACACTGCTGCTAGCTTTAACAGAACCAACAGAAACAAAAGCAAATAACAAACCAATACTACTAAAAGAGTAATTAAGCAGTTGTTTGTAATTTTGTACAGCCACTTAGAAAGCAGATATATTTGAAAGAATTGAACTTTATATTAGGTGGGTGGGTGGGGGAGGAAACACAGAAACCTTCTCCATCAAAGTGAGTTTCTCCACAACTCACAGAATCAACGGCTGTCAATTAAGAAGAGCAGCATCCACTCTTCTGGGCCACAGGTTGTCCACGAATCTGCACAGTTGGTGGCCTCGTGTTGTTTGCTGAAGGCTGACTTGCCATCCTACATTTATCCATGACAAAACGAGACTTTCAATAAATTTTGTTACGACCGTTGAAAATATTACAAAGAACAAGAAGAAAGGCAAACCTGGTCTTGATGTCGGCAGACATAGCCATGAAAGCCTGTTCAACGTTAACGGCATTTTTGGCACTGGTCTCCATAAACGGAATGCCAATTTCATCAGCAAATGCCTGAAGATATTTTAGCAAACGCTTGTAAGTTTATTGTAGTTGTATTTGGACGAAGTGATGAAAGTTTATTCTTCTACCTTTGCTGTTTCATATGGCACAGCTCTGTTTTCAGTAAGGTCGCACTTGTTTCCGACGAGAAGCTTGTTAACATTTTCACTGGCATATCGGTCGATTTCATTCAACCATTGCTTCACATTGTTGAAGCTCTCTTGGTCAGTGACATCATATACTATCTGCAAGAACAAGTCCAAGATGAGGACGTAATTTTAGGGAATTGCAGAATTGACTATTAGTGAATTGTGGTAGTTCAAAGTGAAGAAACAAACAATGATTCCATGGGCGCCGCGGTAGTAGCTGCTGGTTATAGTTCTGAATCGTTCTTGTCCAGCAGTATCCCACTGCAATTAAAAACAAACACATGAATTTTAACCCTTTAAAAGACAATTATGTGGCAAGAATAACGTATGAACAGAACTTTGCTATATGTTTCAAGATTCACAAAGCCACTTGGTACAAAATGCAGAGGAATCATGAATCTAAAAATCCATGTTTGAACGGTAGTAATAAGAAAATATAGATTATAGATTGAAGAAAAAAACTCACAATCTGAAGCTTAATAGTCTTCCCATCTTGCTCCACGGTTCGAATTTTCTGTAGAAGTAAAATATGCGATCAGAAGTGTGATTAAGCAAGGTTAGAAACTAGGTATTCAGAACATGTAAGTCCTTACGAAGTCAACACCAATCGTGCTGATGTAACTGTCAAGGTACGAATCATCCTGCACCAAAATCACAAGCACTGTCAATCACTGACCATATTTCACCACAACTAAAACAGTTGGAAAAAAAGATGATGGTTTAATTACACAGCTGAAAACCCTAGTGCTGAAAACGAATATTCAACAGTTTAACACCCTACCATTGCCTAAAGACCCACTCCGTCAAATACAATAAATTTTTAACTGATATTTCTTTCAACTTAAGGAATGGTATATAAAAAAGAAAACAGAGTTAGTGAAGTTTATGGAACAAAACGAAAGGCGCTATCGTGGAAGTTCCTCTGGATGGGGTTTCTTTTGATTTGACTCACAGCATACACAGCCGAAACGTTTCAACGGCTACATTTAGATCAAATTTTAAATTTCTCTCACAAAGGTCAATAGTAGCTCATCAGCTTTGATTCATGCAGATACTAATATGACTCCTTACAACCGTTTCTATCTACTATTATCAAAAAATGTTTTTCTCCAACTGAACAATGCAGCCAGGATCGATCAGGTTTCCATTGCTCAACTCAAAGACAACATGAAAAAACTAAAAGTCTTGTTTCTATTTAATCTTAATTTCTTTAGAAATGTTCCATCTCATTAAGAAGGAAAAACGTGTAATGTTATGAAAATCTTCCAAAAAGAATTGCTGCGTAAAGAGAGGGGGGAATTATCTAACCAACAAACGCATTTGAATTTCTATATCAAACACCAACAATTAGAAGCTTACAGCAAATCTCAGGAGAAGACACGACTTCCCAACACCTGAATCTCCAATTAAAAGAAGCTTGAACAAGTAGTCACTGAAAAACACCGACATAAAATACCGAATAAGTTACATTGTACCATTCAAAATGGGAAAACGTAAATATTATAATAACATGAGATAAAACTAATTGAGAGTAATAACAGATTTAACAGTTGGTGCGCTTGGGTGATATTGTGGCTAATATATGCTTCTAGTCCATAATAGCTGAACGAAGTGTGGTTTACTTTCTAACAAGAACCTAAAACGAGAACGAAATATGAGATATTGGATGCACGTAAAAGTAATAGAAAATATTTTTGATAAATAATGCATTCAGTAATCAACAAACTCCCTATGGAGGAAAATTATCCAAGCCAACCAATTTGTTATAACAAATGAATCAGATATGTTATTAAAACCACGGTCGAGAGGAATCAAAACCACACACTTCTGCCAATAAATTTCACAGTTCTGATTCAGAAATCAACCTACAGCTACTATAATTTCATCAAAATAAGAGATCTCAAAGCTTGAAAATAAAACAAAACTGAATTTTAATTGTTTTTATTAAGATGTGAACTCCTAATAATAATTTTTTTTTGCAAAAGAGAAAACAAAATCAACTTTACCACAAAAGAATCCCGTGAGTAAACAAATAAACATTTAGCTATACAAAAAAAAAGAGGAAAAAAAAAATCCTGGATCTAGTATAATCGAATTAGGAGCAAAATTAAACAGAATTTCTGAACACAGCTCAAACCAAAACCTAAGTGGATCTATCAAATTCAATACAACTTGAACCAAATTACAACCCTAAAAAACCGTAGATAAGTTAAATCGGGAAAGAGAAGAGATTTACTATTCCGGATTCATGATTGGACGCGATAAGACGGGGCGGATATCGGAATATTCTGCTTCCGACGTACGACGATCGGAGACGGAATCAGCGCCGGAAGAGTTGACCGGATTGAGTTGGGGGTAGCAGAAGAAAAAGGTTTGCTCTTTGAATTTATTTATTAATTAAAATAAAATGGAAAAATATCGGACAAGAATAGAATGGAAGTACAGTTGGTATTCATTTATAGGGACACCGACAGCGGACAATTGTTGAAAACTTCGAGGAAAGGGGCCTCTTTTTCACTCTAATTACACGCCACCCCCATATTTATTTTTTTCTTTCAACTCAATATTTTTTAATTATGTTAACTTAATGGCTAATTAAATAATTGATAAAGTATTAAATTTTCTTGTTCAATATGTTATTCTATCTCTATGTATTCCATTGATTAATATACTCAATTCAAAATACTATTGCAGTATTTTTATTTGTTTCAGTGTATTGTATTGTTCAAGTTGAATTAATAGAGAGGCCTCTTATCAATTCTAAAAATTATATTTTACACTGGCTTATTGCTCATAGGCCCATAAACTCCTTGTCCACTGGGCTTAATACATTGGGCCGAAATTGAACTCGAAAATATATCTCTTGATTTTAAAAAAATAAAATAAAATCAAAATACATCATACTATTTATATTTCTTAAGAAACAGAAAAGATGACTAGATTTTGATTACATTTGTAACGTATTGATACGGGCCCCAATTATCCGAAGACGTTTATTGAATTAAAAAATTATACAAAATTCAAGGGCGGCCCAAGTCCAAGGTCGACTCACCTACTACAACTACTAAAGTCTATCAAATAGCCTCACGTAGGGCATGTGTAAGCAAGCGGCAGATGTGACTACATTCGGCCGAGTGTCAGAAACAGGGGCGGAAAATATGCACCGTGATATGGATTGAGAAGAGGTCCACCAACCAACAACGAGCTCACTTAGGGCAATTAGAGCAACCACGGAGCGACTTAGGTCACACAGAGAGGAACCAAATAGCCTTCAATAGGTAAAATAAGCTCGTAGCAAGTCATGTAACCCTGCACGTTCCTCGTGGCTAGATAAAACAAGGGTCTCACCAGACCCATCTATATGGCATGTATAAATACAACCGTTGAACATAAGGAAAAACAGGTTCCCTATCTTTATATATTACATTCAATACGTCATTCTTTACATCTCGATAAGGATATAATGTTTCACACTTTGCTTGATTGACTTGATAGTCGAATCCGTAACGCCCCTAAAACCTTCCCCGCGTTCTTGTTTTGCAGATCTCCTACGACAGCTGGGCTCTTTATCGATCATGCTTTCCATTGTCTTGGACTTCTCTTTGTCCTCAAAGCCCATTTCATTTTACTATTATTGTTGAGGGTATTTAGACTTCACCACACATATTCTCTAATATAGTTGTATAAAATGTTTATTTTATAGCGATCATGTATTTAAAAACTATATTGCTAACGTAATAAATACATGATCAACACAATTAAGCATAAAAGAATGTTATGTCGAAATAAATGCCAATATTCCTTAGATGCATAGAACTGAAAATCAAATCAATTTATTAATACAACAAAGCAAACTTGAACATTTTTGTTGGATAAACAGTTAAGTTCGGCTTGAGTTTACAATCAACTTGAAAAAAAAAATGATTAAATGTATATGATATAAAAAATCAAGCTACTCTAGCTCAATCTATGTTTGGCTCCATTAATGTTCGTTCGTTCGAACTCAAACAAAATTCAAAATACATTTTCCAAAGATCAATAAAAAAAATTCAAATGAAGTTTCACAAACAGGCATTTTGCTCCATTCAATTTATTTACATCCCTAACCAGTCAACAATGAATAAATAATAATAATAATAATAATAATAATAATAATAATAATAATAATAATAATAATAATAATAATAATAAAAATAAAAGTCCCTGTAAAATCATCCAAACTAATCTAATTATCAGCCTCTGTTTATTCATTTGCAGAACAAAAATCCAACCAAGGATCATCCGAAGAACTGAAAGAAATCGAAATGAATTACGATTTATTCTGCGAAAATAAGGAATTGTCTTCTCTTAGCTTAGCCGGATCCAAATCCCCGAGTTCAACAGGTAAATGTCCTGTGCCGTCACTGTCAAGATGCCCTTCCGTATCCATTCCTTCGATCTTCGCCGCTATCGAATTGTCTTTCACATCAATGTCTGCAGAATCACAAATTTTAGGTCAAAAATTGAAAATGAAACCAAACACGGCCTTAGGCCACAAAAACAATAGAAGAGGAGGATTAGGATTAAGATTAATTAATTCACCTGGATTAGAACAAAACCAGAGAATGAAGGCACACAGGAACAGCACTAAAGGTATGAGATGAACGGCGGTCTCCGCAAATTTAGCGCGCGCCTTCTCCTTCTTATCCGCCTCCGACGGCGGCTCGTAGACCGGAATCTCGCCGGAGCCCTGCGACAGCGCTCTTAGAGCCGTCGGAATTTTGGACGACGGCGACGACGTGTAGTAGCTGAAATAATCGTCGGGGACTCGATTTGTGCTGCCGGATCGGTGCATATTCAATTTTTTTCTTTTTTTTTATTAAAAATTAAATTAAATTATGGGAAAAAGATGAAGAAGAAATAAATGTATATGGTGATGGGAGAAATGTAAATATGGGAATTTGACCAATGAAATCGGCTTACGATTGGGGAGAATCTGTTTGCTCTGATAGATTATCAAGTTGACGAGGGTTATCATTTTTTAACACGTATTTTTAGTTTTTATTTTTATTTAGCAACATCCAAACATGCCCTTATTTTGGATGGTTTGTATAAATAGAGTTTGAGTTAATTGCAAATAACACCCTTGTGTTATTTCTAATTGCCGAATACCATTCTGTAAAAAAAACAAACTCACATGTCACACCCCCTTGTGTTAACAAAGCCAGGGCATCGAGACCTCTAGAGACAAATCGTGTCACTCATTCGTGGGTTTGTGCGATTTTTTATGATATTTTTATAGTGAAATGTCATAAATACCCCTTTACAAATTAAAAAGAATCCAACTAGTTAAAATTATGAACAATCTAAATTTTGAGGACAAAATTGTAATTTCTAAAATTTCAAAATAATGAAAAAACAAAAAGAAAACGAGAAAAGAAAGGTTTCCACTTCTTCCTCGTTCTAGTCCGCCGTCTACCATCGCCACTGACTCACTTCTCCAAATTTCTCTCCCTCTGACATCGTCGCCTGGCACCACCAATTTCTTCTCATGATCTGATGTTTCTAGGAATTGATATGAATTTTTCTAAAACTTTCCTAAAATAACAAAGTTTGATTTTTATGAATTAAAACGACGTCCGATCACCAAAATCCGATTTAATTCATGAACATAGCTCATGAGTTTTTTTTTTCTTCGGGCCATTGTGTTTTGCGATAGGGTCTTTAACTTGCTATTGAAACTCAGAAAACCTTAATAAAGTGGGAAAAAACGAACATTTTGCAGAAAAATGCAAAAACGAGTTAAATCATAATTCCAATAGATCTCGTAATTTTAGAAACAACCCAACTAACGGATTCCTCATCTGATTTTTCTATAAATTGATGTGAATTTTCTAAACTTTCCTAAAATAGCAAAATTTTATTTTTATGAGTTGAAACGGCGTCCAATCAGCGAAATCCGGTGTGATTCATGAGCAAAGCTCAAGTGTATAGTTATTCGGCCCGTTTTGCTTGGGAACATGTCCTTAACTTGCTATTAAAACTCAAAAAACCTTAATAAACTGGGAAAAACGAACATTTTACATAAAAATGCGAAAATGGGTTAAAACCTAATTGTAATAAATCTCGTAATTTTAGAAACAACCCAACCGACGGATTCCTCATCTGATGTTTTTATGAATTGATATGAATTTTCTAAAACTTTCCTAAAACAGTAAAATTTGATTTACATGAGTTGAAACAACGTCCGATCACCGTAATCCGATACGATTCATTAGTTATGCTCATGAATTTTGATCTTCAGGTCATTTTGATTGGGATAGGGTCTTTAACTTGCTATTAAAACTTTAAAATCCTTAATACATAGGAAAAACGATCACTTTGCAAAAAAAAAAAGCAAAAATGAGTTTAAACTTAATTCTAATATATCTCACAATTTTAGAAGCATCCAAAGTGACGGAATGACCAATTAACACTTCTATGAATTGATATGAATTTTTTTTTAAATCCTAAAATAGTAAAAAATAATTTTATGTGTCGAAACGACATGAGTTGTGCACTTGTGCTGATGACTTTTGTTCAGAGTTTCCGTTCTACTTGGGATAGAGTTATTTGGGATAGAGTTTAGTTATTCTAACACATGGACATTTTAGACAATCATTGCATTCTTTTTTTTTTTTAATGAAGGAATCCGCAACCATTCATATAGGTGCACTGGGTAAACTGTATAATAACTTGCAAACCATACGAAGAGACGTAAAACCACACTAGACTAACCAAATTCTTTTTTTTTTAATTATGGAACGAACCATGGAAGGTTTTTTCGTAAATAGATCCTACATCGTATGTCCTTGTATTTGGGCTTATTGAGAAAAAAAAGTTAATAATTTACAACTGAAGCCCATGTTTGACAAGAGCCCATCTACAAAATAAAAAGAAGGGGGAAAAAGAATTTGTGACGAGGAAATAAATATATAATACTGTATAACCCTCAGAATTTTCTTCTTTCCCGCACACACCAGAAACAAAATCGAAACCTCGAAGCACCACCCATGGCTGAAGGAGAGGACAATGGCGAGTTCTACCTGCGTTACTATGTAGGCCACAAGGGAAAATTCGGTCACGAGTTTCTGGAATTCGAGTTCCGGCCCGACGGCAAGCTCCGGTACGCCAACAACTCAAACTACAAGAACGACACTATGATCCGCAAAGAGGTCTTCCTCACCCCCGCCGTACTCAAGGAGTGCCGTCGCATCGTCTCCGATTCCGAGGCAAGGATTGATTTTTCACTTTTGATTTTGATTTTTTTTTCCCTTTCGTATTTTATATTAATTAGGGTTTTGAATGGGGGGCATTCATTTTTGGGTTTTTTTTTTTTTTTTTTGGTTCTCTGTTGCAGATAATGAAGGAAGATGATAACAATTGGCCGGAGCCGGACCGTGTGGGGAGGCAGGAGCTGGAGATTGTGATGGGGAATGAACATATTTCATTCACGACCTCAAAGATTGGTTCTCTTATGGATGTTCAGACTAGTAAAGATCCGGAGGGTTTACGGATCTTTTATTATCTGGTTCAGGTACATCTTATTGCGGAATTATTTTCTTCGTATGACTTCCAATGATTTTGTATTCTTTAGGAATTTATTTCAGTGATTTATTATACAGTCATGTGAACTAGCTAGTTGTTATGAAGCTTAAATTGCTTGCGATTGCCCTCCTCGATGAGATTTAGTAGGGAAAATAAACACTTTCCTTACATTTAGCATGGAGCTCGATATGAAGGAGTTGGGTATGTTAGGTGTTTGAGGCTTTATTTTTTGTTGACTTGTGTGGAATTTTTTGGTTTGGACATTGTTAAAAGAAGCTTTCGAATTAATGTGGTGGTATAGAAAGGAAGAAGGATATGAAATGATGTCAAGTAGGAATGAATTAGATGACCTTAAGTCGTTTGCTTGTTTAATTTTCCTCGAGGAGTTATTCAAAGTGAATATAATTTGTAGATTTATTTTGCAATATTCAGTTACTGAAGTTTTGTGATAAATATAGCGCATATCACGAAATCCATGGGTTCTTTTTTAATATTTTTGGGGAAAACACGATCATGCAAGTCGCAAGATCATGTTTACTTGATTAAATGAAGTACTGAACTCTTTTCTTTTAGGATGCTTTTGGAGTACCACATTTTGTACGTGACCTAGAGGGTTTTATTTAGTTTATCTCTGCAGTATAGTAAGAACATAAAGTTAACTAGTATGTGAATAAAAAATTCACGTAGCCAAACTGTAGTATGGTTTATATTATCTTAACAAAAAATATAACTACTAATTACAAACAATTTAGTTGCTATCATAGCAAGATTTGTTATTAAGCTAAATTTTTCATAAACATATATAGTTCAAGGGAGAACTGGTTTTTTGGTTTTGTGTAAATTCTTGCAAGTTGATTATTTGATGTTCAAGACTTGCTCAGAAAGCTGATCAAATGACATGCTGGCATTCAAATTTACGGCCTCAATCTCAAACATGTTATTTGCAGTTTATTAGATGTGGTAGGAGATTCATTGGCATGAGAACATATTCAATTAAAGTTCTTGAATGAAGATTTGTTTGCGGTTCGTGTCTGTTATACATGTTCTAATGTATAGTGTCGTTTGTATTTCTCATATATAGTTCAATATGTAACTTTCTTTTGTCACTTCCTGGAGTAAGAAAATAATAATTATAGTAATAATAATAAAAAAAAAAAGACATTGTTTCTCGTAGATTTAGTTCGCCAATTTGGCTTGTCATTAACAATTTAATTTTTCTACGTTTAATGATTTTCTTGCACACATATTCACCACATTTCAGCGTCGCTAAATGTTGTTTTTCTTCTTTCCACTATGTTGTTGCAGGATCTAAAATGTTTCGTCTTCTCTCTGATCTCACTGCACTTCAAGATCAAGCCCATATGAAGTTCTGTTTTGCCACAACAAGACATGGATTTTGGTGGTGCTTTTTAAAAGTTCATCTATTTGCGAATTGTTTCCCCGGTGCTGGAATTGGTCATATGGGTTGTTTGAGTTAGACAGAGGGTGCCATACCCCCGTTAATTTGCTGTTTTTCTTTTTATTCGACTATTAGAACCGTTTAAATTCTTCTCTGTTTGCGGATTTGACTCGTAGGTTTTGCACTCAGTTTGTGAAGATGTAGATCTGATTATCTATCTTGTTACTAATGATTTGATCATAGCAATTTTCGGATGTGCTACTACCATCACCTATTAAGCACCAGTGCACTGTTTGATGTTTTTCGATTAATGTTCTCACATAATTTGGGTTTGGTTTATCAACTGTTATTCTCAGATACTTGAGTTTATTGATATGGTGTTACAATTTTGCCAATTGTAATTAAATCAAAGGTTATATTTTGGGGTTGGAAGAGCTCACCTCCCTGCCAACTTTTTTTTTTTTTTTTTTTTGTTTTCCCTTTGCCTGTAAACAACACAAACGTTGTCTGTACTCTGTACTATGTTAGGTAATCTAATCACAACAGAAAAAAAACAACCAGCTTTTAAAGTCTTTATAAACCCCATAAATCCCCATTTTTGTTGCCAACTTCAAGAAATGGCCAAGTTTTTGTTTCTATTTTCTACAGTCATACTCTCGTTCTACTACGCCTCGGTATGTTCAGCAACTGTTTACACGGTAGGCGATAACTCCGGCTGGGATATCAGCACGGACGTCAATTCCTGGGCAAAAGACAAGTCATTCTCTGTCGGGGATACCTTATGTAAGTCCAATTAACCTTGTCAAACGTTGCGTTTCTATTTATTCTCTAAAACAAACAACTTTAAATTTTAAGAAAAAGGAAATCTCATGTTTTATAGTGAATTTCTCATGTTTTATAGTGAATTTTTGGCAGTGTTCCAATATTCGCAGTATCATACAGTAAACGAGGTGAAAAGGGATAATTACGAGGGGTGCAACACGACCAACAACGTAATACGATCGAGTAGTAATGGGAACGCATCGTTTGCTCTAACGGGGCCCGGTGAAAGGTACTTTGTCTGTGGGAATCGATTGCATTGTCTTGGAGGAATGAAACTTCATGTCACTGTACATGGTAACCAGGTGGCGGTAGCACCTGTCGGGGCACCTCAGTCACAGCCAGGGGGCTCTCTTCCTCCTCCGGGATCTTCTGGAACCAATAATTATTATAATCCTTCAAATTCGTCTTTTCTTTACAGGATTGAGATTGATAGTATTGTCCTGGGATTTTTGGTGTCATTGGTTTTTTTCTTACAGGTTATCTGAGTGTCTGGATTTGCTTGTGGTTTAAATTGTCTGAGATTTATGAACTATGATGCAATGCAGTTACACTAGAAACTCGATAAATTAATAACCTCGCTTAAATAATAATTTATTTTGATCCCGGCTCGATGAAAACGTATTAAATTATTAGTTCGATAATTTAATATTTCGCTAAATTAATAGAATTTTGCTCGTCCCAACTGTATTAATCTATAGAGGTTTAACTATATTGAGTAATATTTGTGGGCTTAATCCCACTTTGCACCTTTGAAATATAGTCTTTTGACACTTTTTTGCACCCTCGAAAAATATTTATATCACTTTGCACCCTATGGCCTATACACACAATGAATCATGCATAATGCACCTCGAATGGATATTTAAAGCTAATGAAGACAATCTAATATTTGTAGTGGTATTTTTTAGTATGCCGAATTTCAAGTAATTTTTTTTATATTTATTAATCTTTAACAAATAAGTAAATGATTGGTGGTAGGAAAGAAACCCGAATGTTCCAATTAAAAAATATCAGATATATATATGTATATATGTGTGTATATAATATATAAATAGATAATATATGATTTAATCATTTGCGCAACTGTGTCTGTCACCACCCAATTGGCAAATACTCTATTACACACAACAACATAATTAATTCCAACACGTAATCTTAAAAAAAAAAAAAAAAGAAAAAAAAAAAAATGCTCCTCAAAACCACCGCCGCCGCCACCAATGCCACACCACCCCTCTCCTCCCTCAGCAAGCACCCATTTACCATCCCGAAACTACCCCTACTGAAGCCCTTTAATTCCCCCCGCACCCAAACCCTCACACTCGAACAACCCACCCTCAGGATGAGCTGGCTCAACAAGCTGGGATTCGGTGTCCGCTCGACCACAGACTCTCCGGTGGAGTCCTCTTCCTCGGCTATTCCCCAAGGACCCGACGACGATATACCCGCCCCGGGTCAACAGTTCGCCCAATTCGGGGCGGGTTGTTTCTGGGGGGTTGAATTGGTGTTCCAGAGGGTGCCAGGTGTCACAAAGACTGAAGTTGGGTATACCCAGGGGCTGTCGCATAACCCCACGTACGAGGGCGTGTGTTCGGGTAAGTCGGGTCATTCGGAAGTGGTCCGGGTTCAGTTTGACCCGAAAGAGTGCAGCTACGAAAACCTTCTTGATATGTTCTGGTCGAAACACGACCCCACTACTCTCAATCGCCAGGTGATTTTTCCCCTCTTTTATATATATATATATATATATATATATATATATATATATATATATATATATATATATATATATATATATATGAACAGAATAGTGGATTGGATTTTCATTATTTGGCACCACTGTCCTACTGAATTGAAGGATATCGGCTATTAAAATTCTTTCGGGGTTCGGTTTCGGTTTCCGTTTCCGTTTCCGTTTCCGTTTCGGTTATATTTTATTGTTGAGCTTCTGTTAGTTGAATTGTTGTCAAGTTATTGGAGAAGTTTCACTACTGAGATATGATTTTTCGAATTCAACAAATCGTAGTCGGAAATTACTTTAATAAATGGGCAAATTACGGCCGCTCCTGAGGTATGGCCAAATTACGAAAACACCCTTCTGTTTGGGTAATTTACCCAATCATGGGTCATTTTAAATATTTTTACATAAAATTAATGTAATTCGGTTATTTACCGAATTAAATCGTATATTTAGTTCGGTAAACGGTATAAAATGTTGGCGTACCAAAATTTCGGTTCGGTTTTACCAAATTAACATCCATAAATTTACCTCTGGAAGGGTATTTTCGTATGGAAGGGTATTTTCATAAGATAATACATAGTTGAAGGGATGGCTATAATTGCACTCAAACAGGAGGGGGTTTTCGTAATTTGACCTTAACTCAGGGGTGGCCGTAATTTTCACTTTTTCGAATTCAACAAGTCACGAGAGTATGGGATGGTTTTGGTAGTAAATAAATCTGCCAAAAAAGTTGTTACATTCATGGTCGTGTCGTTTAGGACTTAGGTTCGAGTTTTCTTGTTCTAATTTTCTCATGCCAACTCAGGGGAACGACGTAGGAACTCAATACAGGTCCGGGATATACTTCTACACCCCCGAACAAGAGAAAGCAGCACTTGAAGCCAAAGAGAGGCAACAAAAGGTTTTGAACAGGACAATTGTTACCGAAATACTGCCTGCAAAAAAATTCTACAGAGCCGAAGAATATCACCAGCAGTATCTTGCGAAGGGGGGTCGATTCGGTTTCAGACAGTCGTCTGAGAAAGGTTGTAATGATCCAATCCGCTGCTATGGCTAAGTCTGAGGTCCGTCCTAATAATCGGTGTTCTATGTTATATCGGTTCATCCGTCGTCGTTATTGTAGATTCTTGTTGTTACTAGTCCGAGTTTGTGTATTTTTCTTGCTAAAATCTTCGGTTTAATGTATAATGTCGCATTGTGGATTGTTGTGAATGTGTGAGTTATCACAATTGAACACGTAATTTGGTTCGATAATATAATATAAAATCAAGAAAAAATGTTTGAGTTGCGATTCGAGTTTGACTCGATGGCTAGGTTCAATTGTCGATTCAACAGAACTTCCGAATTTTATCAATTTTGATTCCGAGCATTCCTGATTTGTGAACAATATTTTTCATTTTGAATCCCCACTTTTTATTTTATACAATTTTCAATTTTGTACATTTACATTTCGGCTCAATTCATTTACATTCTACAAGCAACACTATTTTAAGTGAAAATATTATATAAGGGCAAATTACAGCCACCCCTAAGTAATGGTTAAATTACAAAAACATCCCATGTTTGGGCAAGAACAACCGCCCCCTTAACTATGTATTATTTTACAAAAATACCCGATTTTTCCAATAAACCAAACACGTGCCGATAATATCAGATTTTCATATCTAAAAAACTGAATATGTCGGTTTTTTTCGGTTCGGTGTTAATTGGTTTTTCAATTTTCGGTTAACGATTTCGTTTATTTGTTCGAATTGGTTCGGCATAAAACCGATATTTTTGGACTTTCATTATATTTATTTGATAAAATTAACAAATAACAACCGAAATTAACTAATAAAAAACACATCACAATTCAAAATTAATTAATAGAAAAATATGTCACATGGAGGCGCTCGAAAGATTGAGGCACGTTAGGGTAAGTATTTATACTATATATCAAAAACAAAAAAGACATCATTTTGTATAAATCGGTTTGGTAATTTTTTTATTCTCCATACACAAACCGATATTTCCTTTTAAAAAAAAAAAAAAATAACCGTATATGCGGTTTTAAGTCGGTACATATCGGCTCGATTTTTCAGTTCGGATCGGTTTTTCGGTTTTCGGATCGATTTTTCGGTTTCTCAGTTTTTTTGCTCACCCCTACCTCCATAGGTAAACTTAGGGATGTTAAATTGGTAAAACCAAACCGAAATTTCGGTACGCCAACATTTTATACCGTTTATCGAACTGAATATACGATTTGGTTCGGTAAATAACTGAATTACATAAATTTCCCGTAAAAGTATTTAAAAGGAGGGGTGGCTGTAATTACTCAAATAAGATGGGATTTTTCGTAAATTCACCGTAACTCAGGGGTGATCGTAATTTGGCATGTTATATAAAGATGTGTAAATTTGGAAAATCTATCTACAATACAAAGCAAGATATCAACAAATGAGGGTACAAAAGTAATCCATTCAACTCAATTTATCAATGCATCACATATTAAGACAAGAAAAAAAAAAAAGGAAAATAATACACAATACTAACCACAACCAAAGAAAACCAAAGATCCACAATTAATACATCCTCCCAGTGCAATTGCGTGCTCCACAATAACAAGCCTTTGTCTTAATATTCCCATTCACATCACAAATTCTATCCAACTTATAATTGTAATCATAAGTCAATTCTTGCATTGGAGGTATATTCTTTGAGGCAAAGAACATAATGTGTGGCATTCTCTTGTCATCATTGTCATAAAAAATCTCTTGTGCATAAAGATTAGGTGAGCAACTATGGTTTATGAATCTCCCCACATTCCCATGCATTGCGGCATCAATAGCGTACCCGTCGACGCTCGGTTTTCTATTCCGAACAAGCCTCTCGCCTCGTTCTTCTACTACTACTCCGTTTTCCGATTTGGATATATCGAACAAATATTCGTCACGGCCAACTCTCGTTTCGGCTTCTTTATCCCTCAATAGCTTCCCGACGTACTCGCATATGAAGCTTCCGGAGGAAATGTAACTCCTCGATCTCACACCCCAACCCCTCGACTTCGTCTTGAAAATCTCCAATTTATAACGGAGCCCGTTTTGGCTTACCCTATTCATACAAGAAGGGGGGCATTTGCACAAAGGACCGCACTCGTGAACTCTTGGCTTTGCCCTTATTATGTCTCCGTTTTCGTTGAACGGGATCTCGCCCCCGTTTTTCAAGACGCAAGAGCAAGGCTCGGAATCGGAGCAACCGTCTATGCAATCGCAACCGACGGGGTTAGTTAGCCGATACCAATTCGGATACTCAATGACGGTTTCGTAAGTGAAAAGCGGGGGCCGCTCGGTGTCCACGCCATTCATCGCGCGTATCGGCATCTTCTCTCTTCCTCGCGACACGTCATCCAACACACAAACCTCCGTAGATATTTTCGACTTTCTTGATTTGTTTGTGCTTCGATACGGTCTCGGTTGGCCGGCCATTCTTTGCAATTCGAATTTGAAGACCAATTTACCCTTTTGATCCCGTTCTTGCCAATACCTATTCACCGTGTAGAGCCCGTCGTACACATAGACATAATTACGCTCGTGATCCCTTGTGCACTTCTTTTTGTAGGTGACTCTAATCGGATACCCCGCTTCCATGCTATTAACCAAAGCAAGATTTCCCTTTTCAAGCTTTTGATCCACGGCATTGTCGGCAATGTTAAGGTTACCGCCGTGGCCCGAGTATATTAAAACATCGAGTGCTTTAGCCTCGTTCTCATAGCGGCCCGAGTTGACAACACTCGTTGCAAATTTCTTCCCATCTTGAAAAACATAGTCTATGCCGGAAATTAATTGTTGATGGAGTCCAACAACCGCGAGTTCCACCCTAAACCGAAACTCGTCTCCAATTTCAACGCCCGGTATATGGCCAAAGTGCTTCTCGACTTCAATCCACACTCCCTTTTCCTTGAGAATCCTTGCCGCTTCGAGATGGGGATACGCGACCTTTGTTTCTCCCCTCGTCTCCGCACGCAAGAGCTCCGCATATTGCAATTCAAATATGCTTAGGGCTTCTGAAACCTTAATTCCATGTGGTTGATTGTGCTTCACGATGCTCATATTTACGAGCTCTTGACTCTCGTCGTACCTCGCCTCGCTATTATTACCACCGATGAACACTTCCTTGCTAGATATATCAGAGTACAAAACAAGGGAGTTGTGATCATCGACACAAAACATCTCTGACGACTCATCTTCCTCTTCTTCGCCATGAGACGCACATTCATCCATACTATCCGTGCAAATGAGGTCCTCGTCGTTCTCTCCACATTTAGCTTCAATCGGTTGCGTATCGGAAACCACTTCTTGATTTGATTCAATTTTAACCTTTGATGTGTTCGAACAATTCTCGGAACCAAATTGTAAACCACTCCACTCAGCATGTGACAAAACGCAAACTTCCTCTTCATCTTCTCGAGAGTTGTTTTCCTCGACACCGATCCTTTTCTCACGGAGACTTCGATCCGAATCCTGCGGAGCAAGAAATTTATCACAAATTTCATCTCTAGCCCTCTTATTCGATATCGCCGCACCAATGGAAGAACATTTACTCGTAGGATCAAACTTACTAATAAACTCTTTAGCCTTGGCAATAACTGCCGCCAGTTTCTCCGAATCACGCTTCCACGACTCTTCAAAGGCAAAAACCGTTTTTCGTCCTACAACAACATCATTTACGCAATGTGGCTCATGTCTAACACTATCTTTCGGTCCACTTCTAAAAGGCAAACCTGGTATAAGCAACGGAATTTTCTTCCCGATTTGACGACTATCGTCGTTATCCACTTGAAAACCGGGCGGTTTGTTTTCGTCTCCGTCAACACCGGAGTCAAAGGGGCTGCTGCTACTGCTCTTTGTAACATAACTAACAACTCCAACCTCCGGGCACTTCGTATAATTAGATGAAGGCATTTCTCCAACGGGGGCGCCGCAATTCACCGGAAATTGCCGAACACAATCCAACTTCCGACGCTTGATTGAAGAATTGTTGTCTTCGAATAATTTCTTGCCCTGCATTTTTTGGGGAGTTCTTGAATCGGGAAACACGGTCATTGATTGTAGAAGCAGGAGTTGAAATTCCTATAAATTCAAGAATAGCAACAAATTATTAAACATCAAACACAAATTAACACAGAGTAGAGTAATTTTTTCTAGATTAATTCAGACCAAGCAAACCTAAGATGAATCGGTACACGGAAAAAAAACAAAAGGGGCTCTAAAATTTCATCATTCGTGATGAGAAATAAGAAAGAACTTGATGCTTACTTAATACTTGAAGTATTGAAGCAAAGGTTGATTAGGGTTTGAGAAGAGAGATTTTAACCGTTGGTGCGATTTGAATCGTCACAAGGAGATCGTGTTCTTTAGAAATGGCGGTATGTTTGAGGGATATTAAGTCGTGGGTTTATATATATATACATTTTAGTAGAAAAAAAAAAACAATTATTTCCGCTCTTTTCATTAATTAATTAATAATTAATTGGGGGTTACAAAATTGAAAAGAGCAACTAATGACTAGGTTTTATGTGAAGATTAATGACAAATATTTATTCTGTTATAGCTTTCACTGAATGTAGCATAAAAATGAGTGTAACATAAAAATAACCCGAATGACTATTAGTAGAGTTTTAATTTAGTTTTAAAAATTTAAAAGTTGAAATTTGAAATTTGAAATAAAGAGGGGACTGACTCTAGACATACCTTATTACAATGACTTTTGGAATACACCTTAAAAGATAGTGTGTGACAATGTTTTCAATTGCACAAACAAATGTTGCTATCTCCTAAACCTAGATTTCTGATGTTAATTCATCATACAAAAAAAAAGAGAGTTAGATTTTAAAATTATAAGAATAGACATTTATCTATACAAGACTAGAAGTGTATAAATGAATATTGTGAATAACAACTTTATTTGGAGAAATCGGAATGAGAAATATAGTTCTGAATTCAGAAAATTTCGGATCGAAGTTGGCGGAAACCAATTTCAGGTTGCAGAAAAATCGGACGGATTGGGTTGGAATGAACAAAACTGAGTTCGACTGGAATTCAAAAATTCTAATAGTATTCAGAAAATTTCGGATCAAAGTTGGCAGAAATCAGTTTCAGAAAAATCGGACGGATCGGGTTGGAATGGACAAAACTGATTCCAAAATCAGAAAATTTTGGAACAGTTCGACGGAATTCAGAAATTCTAATAATATTCAAAAAAATCGGATTAAAGTTGGCGGAAATCAATTTCAGGTTTCAGAAAAATCGGACGGATTGGGTTGGAATGGACAAAACTGGTTCCAAAATCAGAAAATTTTGGAACAGTTCGACGGAATTCAGAAATTCTAATAAAATTCATAAAATTTCGGATTGAAGTTGGCGAAAATAGATTTAAGAAAAATCGTACGTATCGGGTTGGAATGGACAAAACTGATTCCAAAATCAGAAAATTTTGGAACAGTTCGACGGAATTCAGAAATTCTAATAATATTAAAAAAAAAATCGGATTGAAGTTGGCGAAAATCAGTTTCAGGTTTCAGAAAAATCGGACGGATTGGGTTGGAATGGACAAAACTAGTTCCAAAATCAACAGTTTGACGGAATTCAGAAATTCTAATAATATTAAAAATAAAATCGGATTGAAGTTGGCGGAAATCAGTTTCAGGTTTCAGAAAAATCGGACGGATCGGGTTGGAATGAACAAAACTGGTTCCAAAATAAAAAAAAATTGGAACAGTTCGACGGAATTCAGAAATTCTAATAATATTAATATTGTAACTGTATTTTTCTAAAAATAATCAAAATTTTAGAAATATCTTAGAATATTAAAATTGGATCGAAATAAGAATCCAATACGTATTCCAATTCCGTTCCAAAAAAAATAAAAATAAAAATCATAATCAAAACTTTCAAAAAAAAAAAAAAAAACATAATATTGTTCTAAAATTGAAGAATTTTAGATCAGAATCGGTGGAATTCAGATGTTTCGTTTTAATTTCCACCCGTGCATTGAATATATCCAATATCCAACACACGTACTGCACATGTATACGCATGCGATTGTGTAGATATGCAGTGTTATAGTATTAGCATCTAAAAAATCATGTCAGCGCTATGCTACCCGATATATTTCAATAGGTATAGCATCAAACACGACCACCGGTTTATATCGCCACGAAAAAAGAACAAAAAAAAAAAAAGATTAAATGGAAGAAGAAAACATACCTAGAGCCATTCTATAGCCAATAATTCATTCAAAGGCTGGGCAGATTTTCTCAAGCTCTCAACTTTGTGAAGAAAAAAGTTGTATATAAAATTAATTGCACTAAACGAGTATTTATAGATAAATATTTGCCTTGAAATTAGAGTCCCATTCCAATTCAAATTCTAACCCTAGAGGGAACTTTCCTAACAAAATTGGAGTTATTATTGAACTTTATTTAACTTGTTAGTTTAACTTATTTGAATTCCAAATCTATACAATTAAGGGATCTAGTTCCTTGTATACTAAGGAACTATTATTAAACACGGTTTTAATTAAAATTGAACTTAATATCCCGATTAATAAGGTCAATATTTAGTTTACAAAATTAGAGAAGATCTTGGGTTTCTTGCATTATCTCCAAGATTCAAAAGAGATCTGCTTTCCCTATGAAACGACAACCAAATTCAAGCCTATGTATCCTTGTTTAAATAGTTTTCTTCATCCTTTTTTGTTTTGTTCATATTAAATTCACTATTGTCATGAACGTACTAATAGAGAGAGAAACAAGATTGATTGTATTGATGACTTGGATGTAGAATTACACACAAGTTATTCGACAAATCCAGCTGCTAACTAAAATCTACTATTTATAACTAACTATCTCTCTCATTAGATACAATAGTAATTAAACGAAATATACGCGCGCGGTCGTGATTGGTTGAGAGCTCGGTTGTGCTTAGGGGTGGAAATCGGAACGAAATTTCCGATTTCCGCCGGTTCCGATCCGAATATTTCCGATTTTGGAACGATTTTTTGTTGTCCGATTTCCGAATTTTCCAAAAAAAATCGGATCGGAATCGGAATTGCATATAAAATATTCGGAATTTCCGAATTCCGATCCAAAATAATTCCGAAATTTCCGAAATATTTCCGAATAATTCCGATTTTTTCCGAAAATTATTACTATGTATTAATTATTATATATTATATTATGCATTTCATTTTTCTCAATTACTACTGGGTCTCGGGCAAATCTTGCATATGAACTCTACTCTAGCAAAGCCCACTAATTTTACTGAGCCCATTAAATTTACTTTAACAAAGTCCAGAATTCAAACACTAATGTAAGATTAAAAAAAGAAACACCAAAATGTTCTTCTCTTCTCCGTTCTCCCGAGCAGCGGCGGAGGAGATGTTTTCTCCTTCGATGCGACAATGATTCTCCTTCAAACAATTCCATATAAGCAAAAATTCTTTTATTTTTCTTTTTCTTCTTCTTTGCTTCATCTTCCTTGTAAAGCTGTTGTTTGTGCTCATCTCGTATTTTATTTATCGATCTTAATAATATGTAAGTTTTCTATCGTTTTTCTATCCTCCTTTCTTCATCCTTTTCTTATTTGGTTGTTTTTGCCAATGATTTTGAATACATACAGAATATAATGGTTTAATAAAAGAATTCCGAAAAATTCCGAAATTCCGAATTTTCCGAAAAAATCGGAATCGGATCTCATATTTAGATTCCGAAAAAATCAGAATCGGAATCGGAACTCATAAAACACTTCCGAAAAAAATCGAAAATTTTCCGAAAGCTCCATTTCCGATCTGATCCATCCGATTTCCACCCCTAGTTGTGCTTAAGCTCCCTTAAGTCGCGTTCTTTGGAACGCTCGTTTATAAGTGAATCAACACTCTTATCCTTCCACAACGTCGTTTGGTGGTTGTGATAGTGAAAACCGTTACAACTATCTAAAAGATTCTGGAATATGCAGGGAGGAAAAAAAAATGTTTTGAGGCTATCAACATTCAATATTATCGAGATTTATCAAGTTTTCCGGCATGGGTATAACTAGGGGTGGGCATTCGGGTCGGGTCGGGTCGGGTTATTCGCGTCGAGTTGTTCGGGTCTTTTGCAAAAAAAGAATTACCCGAACCCGACCCGAGATTCGGGTCGGGTTCGGGTTTCGCTATTTTCCTTTTTTTTTTTTTTTTACTCTAATAATTATTTAATACTTCTAATTCTAAATGTGACATCACACTTCATAAAATATCAAAAATATATTAAATGTTGATTTACTTGGGCTACAAATATGGGAAGTAAAACATATTGTTATATACACACATTCATAAAAACAAAAGAATTACTAAATTTATTTACACAAAAACATAAAAAAAATAAAAAAAAAAAATACAAACAAACAAATAGTGACCAATTTTACATAATATATATATATATATATATATATATATATATATATATATATATATATATATATATATATATATATATATATATAGGGATAATTACACTTTTGGTCCACGTCGTTACATGTCTGTTAGCAAGTAACGGAAAACACTATTTTGGGGCGAAAATTAAATTTTAAAATTTTTTGAGGCTGAAAAATAATTAGAAATTTAAAATAGACTACTTATAATTAAACTTTTAATAATATTAAGTATAATGAAAATTATTTAATTAATTTCTTTTTTATTATTAAAAAATAATCATAAGTAGTATAATGAAAACTAATATTAAGTATAACGCACAATAATTTATTTAGTTAATTTTTTTATTATTAAAAAATTAATTACGAGTAGTATAATTATAATAATATTAAGTATATAGACATGACTTGTTCAACTAATTTCTTTTTTTAATTATTATTATTATTTTTTTATTATAAGTAGTATAATTAAAAATAACTTGTTTAGTTAATTTATTTTTTATTATTAAAAAATAATTATGAGTAGTACAATTACAATAATATTAATATAATTAAAAATAATTTGTTTAGTTAATTTATTTTTTTGTCATTATTTTTTTTAGCATAAGTAGTATAATTAAAAATAATATTAAGTATGATTAAAATAATTTGTTTCGTTAAATTTTTTATGTTTCAAAAATTGATAATAAGTAGTATAATTATAATAATATTAAGTATATTAAAAAATAATTTTTTTCGTTGATTTCTTTTTTTTTATTATTATTATTAAAAATTATAAGTAGTCTATTTTAAATTTCTAATTATTTTTCAGCCCTAAAAGATTTAAAAATTTTAATTTTCACCCCAAAATAGTATTTTCCGTTACTTGCTACCGGATATGTAACGGCGCGGACCAAAAGTGTTTAAAATTGAAATTTGGAGGTGAACTTTGTTCACTTTGGAACAAGGGGGACCAAAAGTGAAATTGGGCCAAACATGAGGGACCAAAAGTATAATTATCCCATATATATATATATATATATATATATATATATATATATATATATATATATATGGGGAAATTTGCTAGACACCCCTAATTTTGGACTTATATAGGTGGAAATCCAAGTGATTAGATGAATATAGGTGTAGGTCCCTTGCCTATTAAAATTAATATGAATTAAATAAAATTAATTGTATATGGACACAAATATCCTTAACTAATATTTATATAAAAATATTATTTTAGAAAATAAAGAAATAGACCCACAAATCACTCTCATTTTTTCTTTCTCCTCTCTCCATATCTTTCTCTCTCTCACACGCATTTATCTCTCTTACTTACATATTTATCTCTCTCTATAACTTTATGTTTGCATTTATTATTAATTTGACTCCAAACAACAAACATCAAACATCAAACAACAAAAGGAATTTGAAAACACATATTTAAATTGTTGTAATATGATATTTACTTGTTATATTTTTTGGTATAATTTCATCATAAATATTTATTTGCATATTTTTTTTTAATAAAATCTTTAAATATTCAATTATCTTATTCACAATTTTTT